TGTCAATTTAGATCCGGGGAAAGTATCGACAAACACTGCAATTCCTTCATTAGTTATGGTCCTACATTAGCATCCCTGGAGGACGCCCATCAGCTTAATGCAAATGGGATGACGAATAAATTTGCAGTATTTCAACAACCACGTGATTGACGGCACTTTTACCCATTTAGCAGAAAATTAACATACAACCCAAGCCACTTGAAGGTGACGTATAAATGTCTGGTCGACGGTGAGTCAGCAGTCCGAAACGGGTAATGAGTTCGTGTGAACAGACGTGCCTGCGACCCGAGGAAGTGGTGTTAGGAGCGACAAAGCTGGACATGAATAGATGGACCTTCCTGACTGATCACCCTTCATACGGTTGACCTCGGGGAGCTGAGTGTACAAATTGGAGCGACACGATTAAACCAAGCAAACGCATAGCGACAGGCAACTAAACTGCACTAGCAGCATTAGTGTTCCGTCCGATTTTTGTCTGCTGAGCGTACTGTGAATATCTATTCGTCTTGGATATCCTCGCAACGCATCTCAACTTGCCTATAAGCCTAGGATAACAAGTAATCTTTAATCGACTTAACCCGTTCATGCGTTTTCGATCCTGCGAAGCCCTTCACAGCTGTACCCAGGATCAGTATCAGAAGTATCCGATGCGTATAACCCAGGTTTCCAAAAATAAACGGATTTCTTTTGGAAATTAAAGTGACCGGAGGCGGAGGAACGTCTTACGCGTTTTTGATACGACCCTTATCAAGCAAAGTAACAAATCCTATTTTTACAGCGCTCTGTAAACTTTATCCAATCCATCCTCGTAACCCCTCCGTCAGAACCTTTGCTTTCAAACTTAATCAATCCCTGTAGGGACTATAAACACTACTTTGTTATAGATTCAACAGTTTACCGAACCAATTTTGCTTAACCGGAAGGTGTTCTTATTCTAGCCGCTTAAGACCATGGAATATTTTCTGCGCGACTGGTACAATACACCAACTTGTTAATTAGTCGCAGTCCTCACTGACTATCCACAGCTGAATGAAAATGTTCAAACCCCTATCCGGAAATTTCCAGTTCGAATATGCCCACAGCTCCATGAAAAGCAGTCAGCGATTCGCAAAAAAGACGAAGCAATCTTGGTGTCTCTCGGATCTTTAGCAGATTTATTTCATTAGTATTATTAGAACCCTACTGAACTGTCCACTTAACTAGTCCATGATCCCGACTGATTATCAGATGGGACTGGGATATAATCAGCAGCTGGGATTTTCGAGAGGCGGTCGCATTTTCGCTGCCAATATCTGCCTGTTGTTGGAATCTATCAGGTCCTTCATGAGGACGGAGGACTGGTTCAGACAATCTGTCTATGGTTCTGCACGACAAAGTCTAGCTGGGGTAAGACAGGCCTTTCCAGCCGAAACGCTAGCTGCCCAGGACTGTTCAGCACACACGTAGCCAAGACGTTAACACTTCAAAACTGTCAATAGAAAGGCTCTACAACCCTCAATAAGTCCCAGTAAGGATGAAGGCGTCAAGTCGGCGAGCTCCTCGGGGTCTGATGACAAGTTTTAACAGAATAGGTAAGCTCTCGTGTCATGTTGAGTCATATGCGGTAAACCCGCAGGGAGGAAGGGTAAAATTCTTGTGTAGTTAGCTACCAGTCGTTAGTACGCGCTCTGATCCCTTTGCGTTGTCTTCAGCGCGAACGACACCACCACCACCACAAGTGCTCCTATTTGTCGTGCTTCAGATGTGCATAAGATGTGCCAGTTTCGCTGATGTGACGACCATGTGGTTTGGGTTTTATGCTAATCTCACGACAAATGGGTGAATCGGGAATCATATGGTTACCGGAATTCCACCAAGTCATTCACCGCCACATTAATAGTATGCCAATGAAGTCCTCTGGAACCATCGATACAGGAGCGTAGTTAAGGAAGTGTAGTAGGACAATGTATTTTTTGTTTGGATACTTCAAAGATAAAGTATTCGGTACGAGCGTTCAAGCGTACACCAGCAAAGGCTATCATCAGGCTTCTACGCGAGTGCCATCTGGCTTTATTCCTGCGTATCTAAATCAACATCAAGAGTTTGAACATGTCACCACGTCAGTTTTTATTGGGTGTGAACTCCGTCCATAGTTAAACTGACTGGTTGTTTATCTTTCCGACTAGCGCCAATAAACACCTGACCAGCTAACGACTTGCCATCATGTTGGCGCTGCGACCAGAATCAAAGCAACGAGAAGATTGTCAATCCAGCGACAAGTCAAACCGGTTTAGCTATAGGCGGGAGCCCCATCTAAGAGGCTCCGCGTACAAGCTATTGATGTCAATTTAGATCCGGGGAAAGTATCGACAAACACTGCAATTCCTTCATTAGTTATGGTCCTACATTAGCATCCCTGGAGGACGCCCATCAGCTTAATGCAAATGGGATGACGAATAAATTTGCAGTATTTCAACAACCACGTGATTGACGGCACTTTTACCCATTTAGCAGAAAATTAACATACAACCCAAGCCACTTGAAGGTGACGTATAAATGTCTGGTCGACGGTGAGTCAGCAGTCCGAAACGGGTAATGAGTTCGTGTGAACAGACGTGCCTGCGACCCGAGGAAGTGGTGTTAGGAGCGACAAAGCTGGACATGAATAGATGGACCTTCCTGACTGATCACCCTTCATACGGTTGACCTCGGGGAGCTGAGTGTACAAATTGGAGCGACACGATTAAACCAAGCAAACGCATAGCGACAGGCAACTAAACTGCACTAGCAGCATTAGTGTTCCGTCCGATTTTTGTCTGCTGAGCGTACTGTGAATATCTATTCGTCTTGGATATCCTCGCAACGCATCTCAACTTGCCTATAAGCCTAGGATAACAAGTAATCTTTAATCGACTTAACCCGTTCATGCGTTTTCGATCCTGCGAAGCCCTTCACAGCTGTACCCAGGATCAGTATCAGAAGTATCCGATGCGTATAACCCAGGTTTCCAAAAATAAACGGATTTCTTTTGGAAATTAAAGTGACCGGAGGCGGAGGAACGTCTTACGCGTTTTTGATACGACCCTTATCAAGCAAAGTAACAAATCCTATTTTTACAGCGCTCTGTAAACTTTATCCAATCCATCCTCGTAACCCCTCCGTCAGAACCTTTGCTTTCAAACTTAATCAATCCCTGTAGGGACTATAAACACTACTTTGTTATAGATTCAACAGTTTACCGAACCAATTTTGCTTAACCGGAAGGTGTTCTTATTCTAGCCGCTTAAGACCATGGAATATTTTCTGCGCGACTGGTACAATACACCAACTTGTTAATTAGTCGCAGTCCTCACTGACTATCCACAGCTGAATGAAAATGTTCAAACCCCTATCCGGAAATTTCCAGTTCGAATATGCCCACAGCTCCATGAAAAGCAGTCAGCGATTCGCAAAAAAGACGAAGCAATCTTGGTGTCTCTCGGATCTTTAGCAGATTTATTTCATTAGTATTATTAGAACCCTACTGAACTGTCCACTTAACTAGTCCATGATCCCGACTGATTATCAGATGGGACTGGGATATAATCAGCAGCTGGGATTTTCGAGAGGCGGTCGCATTTTCGCTGCCAATATCTGCCTGTTGTTGGAATCTATCAGGTCCTTCATGAGGACGGAGGACTGGTTCAGACAATCTGTCTATGGTTCTGCACGACAAAGTCTAGCTGGGGTAAGACAGGCCTTTCCAGCCGAAACGCTAGCTGCCCAGGACTGTTCAGCACACACGTAGCCAAGACGTTAACACTTCAAAACTGTCAATAGAAAGGCTCTACAACCCTCAATAAGTCCCAGTAAGGATGAAGGCGTCAAGTCGGCGAGCTCCTCGGGGTCTGATGACAAGTTTTAACAGAATAGGTAAGCTCTCGTGTCATGTTGAGTCATATGCGGTAAACCCGCAGGAAGTGTAAAATTCTTGTGTAGTCAGCTACCAGTCGTTAGTACGCCCTCTGATCCCTTTGCGTTGTCTTCAGTGCGAACGACACCACCACCACAAGTGATCCTATTTGTCGTGCTTCAGATGTGCATAACCCTAACCTCAGTTCCCGGAAGTTCTTCCAAACCGTCAATAATCGGTGGTTCGTCCACCGAAATAAGACTATGAACACACGACAACTCACTGTGTTCAGACACGGGTCCTTTGTTAGACATATGCTTGAGCAAGTTGTACACGTATTTGGAGAAATCAGTCGGTTTCATATAAGAGCCGTTAGAAACAAGCAAATACCTCTGGTAAGCGAACTGCTCCTCGTACACCTACCAAATTAATCCAGACAGTATACTTACATAAGAGTTCAGGGTGAAAAAATTACGTGATAATCTAAATATTCGTCGTTCCGCAGCACAGGCAATGAAGTTTACCCACGATAGGCTAATGGTTGGAAATGGAGGACACCGGGTCATTTGGCTCGTTTTCTAAACTTGGTAAATGGTTTCTAAACGTTTCGTCACCCTGCGAGGAGACATTGTCAGTGCGCTGTCAGATGAGCGGCCCTAAATCCGAACAATAAACCAAGTCTCTATCAACCTCAGTTGCACCAAATACTATGTCTACCAGTCTGCGTTCGAGTTCGCTTCGTACAGTCACCACCTGCATTCAATGCACGGCTGTGCCGAAGGGAACCTAGGGGAAACTCAGACATCATAGTTCTCACGGTTGGTGGAATGTGCACAATGTTTCCCGGTGAAAAAGAGAGCAATTTCAACCCGACAATAGGCTAACAATTAGTATCTTTGTGTTAAACTACGGTAAACAAACATAAAGGGTGTTGGTCTTACAGCGTTCTGCCGCAATTTGTGTACCGGGGAGAGCCGCAAGAAACCCAATTCACGACAATAACAAAATAGAGAAATGATATTATTTCACAAATTTATCCGTGAGGATAGAAAATCTTCAATAAAACAAATGACAATATGCGCGGATAAATCACAGATAAAAAACCAACATGCCATAGGTAGGAGAAAAATTAAACATGCATTTTCATCTGAGTTCCAGTCGATTGGTAAGTAAAGGTGACAGGCTCTGGATCGACTGGAGTCCAGGAGCCGCAGTTATTCCGTTCTATACAATTTGTCGACTTGGTACCCGACGAACGAACGTNATCGGCATTCCGTGTTATTGCCTGAGGGTGACGAACAAGTGCCTGAGTTATACACCGTGCGGCAGTTAGTGATCTCTTCTTCTTCATCTTCGGTGAAGGTCTGGGATAATTCTGTAGCTGCGGATGGATCATGACCTTCACTCAACAGCCGCCGATAACGATCGAAAAGTCGATGCTGAGCCTCTAGTTCCCAAATACGATTGCGTCGCTCAAGACGTAAGGCGGTCGCGTAGGTTATCAAATTATGAACCTTTGAAACTACGTTGGGTGCTGGGAAACGAACGAAACGGTTCGAGTTTGCAGCAGCGAAAACCATTTGTCCTTCGACTTCGGTGGACTGATACGCCAAGTTCCATTTGTGGTTAATTTCTTCAAGCCGTGACAAACAAGTTTTCTCACTGAAAAGTACCGACTCATTTGGAATCGGATTGCACCATGTATTTGGCGTTATGTTACAATAGGTATGGGTTTCCAAGGTGGTCGTCAACACTCCCTTTGCTGCTACCGCAAACACTCGGATGGGAGTGAATGCGACATGCTTAGAGTCATTTTCGTCAGTTGTCTGGTCGTTGGCATGGAGCGCACATGATTGAAAAAAATGGGAATGTCCTCTTGGAACTATCTTCGTGCGCAAAGAACTATCCAACTCGACGCTGGACACAGAGTCGCTATCATCTTCAAAATACAAAAAGCTGAACAATTCACGACCATGGCTGGGACACACGACGAATTTCCTTTGGAATCTGAAGGATGCCTGAAGTACAGTGGTAAAATATGCATCAGGTGATATAGGGTGTGGTGCCCCGCTTCCAGAAGATGCAATCACCAGTCTTGAGGGGAGATGCTTATTGAGAGCAAACCCATGGAGGATCGTCTTTATCGCTCGTGTTAAGCTGTGTAGAGGTTGTGCGTTGTTGGCCGGACCATGAGATGCTGCGAATCCGGCCCGAACATTTTCATCTAGTAGAAGTTTGTGGTATAAATGGCGGAAACTGCATCGATTGCAGCGCAAAAAGCGCCAAACAATTCGAAATTCCGCTTCAGGAAGAAAACAGTGCGGACCGAAGTGCGCGGGATAGCCGAAATGTGTCGGTAATAACTGTGGGAGGAAAAATGGCATCGAGCATACTAATCCAAGTGAGAACACATAAACATCGGAAACATTTCAGAGGAATTACACAGTAAGCCATCTTAATCTACAAAGACAACTCACAAAAATTAAGACAGCAGTAGGTTGGCTCACAAATAAGGCCGGATTCATTTAACGGTATGGTGAGTTCTGAAAACATTACTTGAACGTTGTTACAACGATTAAATTTTTAGAAGCAGCGAGTAATGTCGGGGTTTCACGGAGAATGTTGTTACGGGACATTGTTTCGTGAGCCAGCTGTGGAAACTATCCTAACAACACAAGGAAACTCCAATTTTCTCAAAAATGCATTTACCCTGACAACAACTTTTAACGGACACGTTAGCACTGGGCTAGAAAAGCACTCAATATATCTATATGCGCACCAGTACCACAGCAACTGAGAGTCTGGGCAAATCTAAAACTGCACTACCGGAGTGTTGACAAAACGCCTGTCTTCATGCGAACTTACACCCCAGTTAGATGGTTCAGGTTTACATTAGCGCTTCAGTTACGTCCGCTAATTTCGACTCGTTTGGTCCAGTTCTATATAACCACTAGATAATTTTACCCATTTTAAGTGTCCTCGATTTGTGTAGCCGACCAAAAGATAACTTTTCAATTTTTGTAAAAGCGTTCCCACGCGGTTACTTCTGAAAGCTGATCGTATAAAGTCGCCCCACAGATATTTCGGAGAATTATATTGTTCAGAAAACACCGCGTATCTCGTTTGATCAGTGCGACTTGAACGTAGTCTCTGTGGAAACGGAATAAAATGCGGGAATTAAGCGAGATTTCTTAGGCTGAGTATCCCACAACTAAATGATTATGGCTCCATAGTTCAAAATGAACAAGGAAGTGGAAATTTCAGTTCGGCGTCTATTTCGGGTCTTCTTACACATAAGTTAACTATCTAATATAGAAGATGCCTGCACATAGAGCAGCCTAACTGATCTTAGTGGGAGAATGGGCACCCTCTCTTCGGAAGAACACCTATTGACAGTAGGAGCAGATAATACTACATGTACCTCTGACAACGAAACGATATACTATACTGGTGCGACCCTCCCTAATAAAAACTGGAATATAACAATCAGTCTCACATAGAAAACACCCCTATCGTGTACAAAAACCATGACTATGGAGAGAATTAGGAAAACGTTGTCGGGAAGTTATTACCTTACGAAGGCTAGCGGTGACTGCTTTAGAGACCATTGTCTGGGCTTAAACATGTGCGTGTTCTCATTGTAAATGGTTTCTAGTAGCCCACAGGAGACAGTTCGAGCATCAACCATCTAAAGTCATCAAAAGCGCATGAGCCCGAGTGGCTTGTGGATGCACACTCCTAACCAGCATCTGATCAACTTTGCTGTCGCAGTAGGGGATTGCACCACCGGTCACCATCTAACTGTCGGGGATATCAGTATCCCCAAAAGCCCTGTATCTTTGTGTGCTAACGAACTTCTGGCATTTTTCAAGGTCAAGCCGTATATATATATAATGCATTGTCATTTTCCAGTTAACGTCTGTTGTTTCGAAGATCCCGTGTTCTTACTATTCCGCTATACTAGGAGTTGGAATCAGACAACATAGCTACAAATAGAGTATCGTCACAGTCCGCATATATTATCCTTTGCTCCCTGCGTGATCAAAATCATAACACTGACCACCATTTCACCGCCTGGATATCTATTCCCAACTAAATGGGCACTTTTCAGAAAGCGTCGTTTGGTTTGTTTCATCGTTTACAGTCAGTTAAAGGTAAAGCTACGTTAGTTCAGTTCATTTGGGCAACTATGAGCCATGCATTTATAATTGCAAGGAAACAATAATTCAAGATACAAGCACAGAGCTAACTGTCCCATCAGTCTCCACTTGCTTTCGGCTGCGCAGCTCTGGTGACCCAGATGCCGGTGCGGTAGGATGAGCAGGGGATTGGCATCGTCACCGGGTGGAAGGATCTTTACTTGACCGGATATCAGTTGACAATCAAGTTTCTGTGGTTCGTCTGGCAACGTCCGTGAGGAACCCCAACAAGCACCAAGTCGATCACTGTCTGTTTGTCGTATCTGCTTACGTTCCAACGACCTATGAGTCTGGCACCACCAAAGAGAAGATTTGTGGCGCCTTGAATGTCCGGTGGCGGAGGGTTAAGGGCTCAAATATCACTGTGGTTGCCGGAGACCTGAATGCATAAGTGGGTAGACCTAGCGCAACTTACATTTCATTAGATGATCGACTTAGATCAAACTTGATGTGAACGGATCACGGCGAACCACTGTTCCGCTGTGTGCTGACCATAGGCTGTTTTTAGGCAGTACCAAAGTTGGGCGAGATGTCCCAAGTGGTTAGAGCACGAATTTACTGACCGGAAGGTCCATGGTTCGAATCCGACCTCTGCCACTCGACTTCCCCTGTCTAGACTTGGGCAACCTGGCAGTATGCCAGCCCTCGTGCTTCCTTCGGGTGGCATGGCAGCTAGGCACCGGAGAGGTGCTACAGCTGAACGCTTTCAAAGATACTGCGGCCAAATTGGCGGTAACTTTGTACCTCGCGGTTCAGTTAGGCCAGGAATGAAGCAAACAGACAACTCGACATCTCGAAGAGCGACAAACAGGAGGACAGAAGACAATGCACAAAGGACCTATGCTACGATAACTGATCGCGAGGTGGCTCAATGGTTAGAGCGTGAATTTACTGACCGGAAGGTCTGTGGTTCGAACCCGACCTCTGCATCTCGACTTCCGCTGTTTAGGCTTGGGTAACCTGGCAGTAACCCAGCCCTCGTGCACCCTTCGGGTGGCATCGCAGCTAGGCACCGAGAGGGTGTTACAGCTGAACGATAGATCTCGCGGACTATGGTGATCAAGTTACTCAGCGTGTTCGTCTACAGTGGTAAGCCACATATTCAGCTATCTATGCTTGACATGGTAAGAGTGACAAGTTTTTGTTCAGGAACTTCGGCATTCAAACCACCTTTTATCTTGCGTCACATTGATTGTGCTTGGTTACGTAGTGCTCGTTTACACATCAGTTCTTTGCAGACAAGTAGCAGTCAACTGATTCACGCTGTTCGACGTCTTCCGATAGGAGAGGCCATTCGCAACCATAAAGTAAAACGACTCTTGTACAAGGTCAATTAGCTCTAGTGGAATTCGTGTAATGCAATTTCAGTTACATTTTGACATTGAATTCAACCTTTACAGTAAAATCATAGTCTATGCAACTTCTGATATGTCTATCTAATGATAGTTCAAGTCTCAGAATGAAAAGGAGAGGGTGGATGAGGAAACGAACCTGGTGATGGCCTACCGCAATCATTCTGAGGTACCTGCACCTCCAAGGGCTTATGTACGCTATCGGAAAACTGGACACGAACGCCAATGATACCGAATAGCCGCCGTTTTATGCAGTGTTTTCGGCCAAATGCAGGCTTCATGAGGATCCCGTCGTAAAAGGCGTACTGCAATAACGCCCGAACTCTTCATTGTCTTTTCACACTCTCCTGCCAAGTCCTAAGTCCAGATTCGTGCACTGATCTCATCAGACACACAATCGACGGAACCAACGAGGTGTGTGGAGTTTTCCATAACCCCAAGTACTTCTCCTTCGATTACAAGGGATGCGTTCAGAGACTACACGTTCTGAAGCATGACTTTGTACTTTCCAGGAGCACGACATGAAGTTGAACAGAAATAAAGTGACCATCTTTGCCGGACACTACGTTTTGTAGAGGAGTCTTTTGAGGGCTCACCATAACCTCTCACAGGCCCAGAAGCATGTGAATATAAGGACCGGACCATGCTATCATTATTATTAATGACTGATCAAAAGAATCGAACGCACACAAAACTGTAGGTCGTCTTTGCGTGTGGCGTTATTCTACCTTCCGAGCTGTGGTCGATGCAATCTCCACCTGGTCCAAATCCTGTCTGAAACTCACGGACAACGGTTCCGTGTGTCGCCGTAAGGTAGATCCCAGTGAGCTGAGGAATTCGCCACCGTCCCTGGACAGGGCAGGTAGTAAGTCCTGGGTGATGATGAAGCTTGAGGGATATACACTCGGACACACCTGAGGCTGAAGAAAAATGGACATTTACATTCATGTTCTTTCAAAGTCTGAACTGGCCAACTGAATAGCTGTTCAATGTTTTCGGCCCATAGATCAAAACACTCTTTGCTGGATAGCAGAAAGCCCTTGTAGAGTGACCCATAAGGAACACCCTGCGAACATCTCAAGCGTTTTTAGCTTCTTCTATCTCTTTAGCCTGTCGGACCCACTAAACGATGCGCTCCGCTAGGATACTAAGTTCTGCCTAGTGTTGAGCTGGATTGTGATTGCCATCAGAAGGAATTTATCAACGCGCTTTCATCATAGTCACGATCCTAACTATTCCCTAACCCAACAGCCACTGCAACCTGATATCCACACTCGGATGCTTCGGAGTCCCTTACATGCACACTATACAGAGAAGACAATTTTTCATATATCAAAGACACCGTTTTGCCTTGCGTACACACCGAACTTCTTAGTGCCGCAAAGTTCGAAGCCCAATACACCACAAGGATGGGCTCACCTTACAAGCACCATCACCTTCGTCGACAGCAATAAATCAGTGGTAAATAAATAAAACTATAAACAAATACACCAGTAATAAACATACTGGCATTTACCTGGCCTACAACCATGAGAATGCCCAGTAAACAGTGTAATAAGGAAGGCTATGTACAAAAAGTTATCCTGAGACAGCAACAAAATAAACGCTGCTGATAATCAGCTGGATTAATACACCACCAATAGGATTGACCCAGGAACGTCTGCGAACCTCAGTGCACATGAACGCGCCAGAGACTAATGAAATTTGGATACGTAGTTTGACCGGGAAGCGACAGTGTGTTCACTGCTAGGACCAACTATATACCACGAAGGCAAAACGACCCCACAGCAGTTTCATATCTTCTTCCCATTGTAAAAAAAATCGTCTAGCTGTAATACCCTTCCGGTGCCTAGCTGCCATGCTACTCGAAAGAAGCACGAAGGCTGGGATAGTGCCAGGCTGCCCAAGCCCAGGCAGGAGAAGTCGAGAGTCAGGGGTGGTTGTTAACTTACGGCTTGTCGCCGACAGTCCTTTCACCAACAGTTCGAAGTACAAAACAATGCTACCTATGGTAGACGAACTTAACCCCAACATGTCTAAACTTGGGTTAATTAGCAGCACCTCAGCCTCGAGTTTCTTCTAGGTGGTATTGTCATTGTCAGAAAAGCGTTAGAGCTGAAGGAATATTTATTACTTATTGTGAACCGTATTTTAGCGCGTATATCTTCCAACCGCATCAACCTAATGCTGTAATGGTGCTTCTGATTCATCACCACCTCACTGCGAAGAAACGACAGCTACCTTACACCGGCTATAACGTGAAAGCACCGATGGTCGAATGGGAGAGATTTCAAATAGAGTACAACGGCTCTTACAACTGTTTTGTATACGCGGCTCCTGGCATCATAACTGATGCCAGTTCGCGGATGCTGCTTACGCCTTGACGAGCGCATTGACTTGTGCCACGGGACAACCACCACCCATGCAGCTACAATGTAAGATCAAGTTTTTCCGTAGTTCCATGGGGACACCGGGGGACTGAAAACCCTGAAACACTACTTCACACGACCATATACAAACTAGTGATTAGATCCGAAATTCTATATAGAGTAGAATGCGCGAACAAATGGCCAAGTATCAGGACAATGTCAACCGGGTATCCCAGGTCTACTTTTCTTTCTGTGGATGCAATTTTGATAACAACGGACCCAAATTCTTGGAGTATGTATTCCACAATGGCAAAAGTGAACATAAAGAGGGTAGCCTAGTAGAATAGCTTCTCAATAGTTTGTTGTAGAACCCAAGGAATAGCAGTCAGAATGGGGAACATGGAGTAGTTTCAACTTCAGGGGCAATTCTATTTCGCTACGGCGCTACCGCGCCATAAGTAAGCATTTAGTAGTCTTACTGAAGCCAGATGCCACACAGGCGTAAGGCCTATACACCTGCCGTTTACTGTGGCTTTGCCTCAGAGAGCTCATTAGTTGTGGCGCGAGCTTACTGACCGGAAGGTCCGTAGTTCGAACCCGGTCTCTGAATCTTGACTGCTTTTGCTTGGGCTTGGACAACCTGACGATACCTTTGGTCTCGCAATTTCATCGGGTGATAGCTGAACGAATATTAATTTGTTCTCGTGTGATTTGGAAAACGTTGTGTGGAACACATTATAGGCACATCAGTATGGTTAGCTGGTGCTAGTCGGCATTCAGCCCGGTCAGTAGGACGGTGACAGCGTCGCTTCTAGCAGTCTCGGGCTCAAAACTCTAGAATACCCGGAGCGTCCATCCAAATTCCAGTCCTGCCGAATGTTTTAATTAGATGACGGTCGCTACGATTTGATAAAGACTTCGATGAACTACATCAGGTTCCTACCAACAGAACAGTACATGTAATGCGAACAGAGAAGAGCTCAGGAGAGTTGCGGCCTACCCGCACAGGAATCATTTTACACTAATACCACAATCCAACCAAAGCTATGATTGAGCAACTTACACTGGTATCCAGGAAAGAGATTGTTTTCATCAATATTGCAGTTCATTGAGAAAGACCGCAGAAGAACACAAGGAAGAGCACAAAACGTTCCGCGAAATTTCATCGAGCAATCGGACAAATGGCTGGTGAGGCTATGACTTTCGCATTTTGAATAACTTAAACAAAGATATGAGGATGTTAGCCCATTTGGTTGGTTTAATTGACTTGTGGAGATCGTGGCCAGATCCCGGCTAACTTTGTCGCTTCCCCTAACTTACACGCACGATACGTGTCTTTTCAAAACGGTAATCCACTATTGTTGGAGCTTGAAATGTAAGAGGTCCATCCTTATCCGACAGATGTCATTATCACCGAAAATCCAGTCCAAATCAAATGCACGTGCATGTTAAGCCTTATCATTACTGTGCTTCTATGCTGAAACCGAAAAAGTTCACGACCCGTTCTACACCTTTTGAAATTTTCGAACTGAGTTTTACTCTAAATGTTCAGCGCACATTTCATTTCTAAAATTGTTTGTCTACTCTAACGACGCCGAGTCCTAGGTCCAAACCCAAAATTTCTCTAAGGCCGTGCTTCGAAAAAAGGAAACTTTTGCACAAAGTTTTGGCAGTTGATGGTTATTATTCGGGCCCTCGTTAGGTCCCCGCGTGGCCGCAGTTTTATTAGTTGCCTAAACGAACTCAGAATTCGTATTTTCACTGCTGCCGCTGGTCTCTCGCATTGTCTCCATGACAGAGGTGGGAAATTTTACGGGCAATTTGATTTTCTTTAAAGTTTTCTTACGTATTAGGTTAAAGAACAATCTAAAAAACAATTAAGACAATAATCACGCCCATTACGTCCGCACGAACTCAAAATGGAGTGATCGTTCGCGACCTGGATACGAAAAATTCTTCTGTGGTTGCGGCAAATGTCCCACCAAAGCCCTGTAATTCGTCACAGCTAGTAAGTTTTGTTTTCAACGATGGTCGGCATGCGTTATATTTGGCTTAAGGCAAGGTTGGATCCTCGTCGACATACCGAGCCAGCGGTGGCGTTGGCTGAACTATTGGGTTTGTGGGCATAACAAGCAGACTACACAATAAGATGACCACTGCTTTCAAGTTCTTAAACGATCTTGGTGGAAGCATGCTCGTCTGAGAAATACCGGAGATGTAGTAAACTACGGGCAAGACTGGGTTTAGTGGTCGAGCTACTTTCATCATGACGCCGTATTTGGGTTCGCGGACGGCCCCGTACATGAACAACTTGGATGGGCCGTTTAGAGCTATCACTGTAGTTAGGATATTCTAGGGTCCATCGAGGGTTAACGATGGTTCATTGCCGCCATTTGAACAGGGCAACAATACAGCCACATCTACATTGGGGACTCAAAATGGGAAGTTTCCAAAAGGTGCGTTAGAAAGCATTTTGCTTCCTACAGCCACGATACTGTTGAAATTGCCGTCCACTGTTGTCTCTTTCGGTTGGCCCGTTCTTGATCTGTATTGCGTCTTGATCAGCTTCTCAGTTGGTTTGTAGCGTACCTCCTATTTTAGTAGTTTGCCGTTCTACTGATTTTCTCTTTGAGTCCTTGTTCGGCCTCGGGTTCTGTGGTACTGGATTTTCTTTGTCCTCAGAGACTGGTAGGCAGGATCAATCTCACTGCGCCTGTTTATTGCTCCATCATTGGAGTACCACGCCTCCATGGACTCGCGTTCTTTCCCTGTTCTTGCCTGGGCCAGTATTCTAGTGTTATTTCAGTCGAAATGATGTCCTCCATCTTTGTGTACAGAGATGAGGGAGAGTTGGTCACGTCTCCTGGTGGCGATTCTGGTTGACAGTCTCCCTCTGTTTGTCCCACGTCGTGTTTTATTACAACCGTTGCATTGAATTTTGTAGATTTTATATTTCTTCTCCATCGCACTGAATGTCCCCTTTGGTTTTGACAGTACTCTTCGCAGCGTATCAGTCGGTCTGTGGGCAAACTTTATGGCATACTGCCACAGTATCTTGGCGGGCCTCTCCGAAATATTTTTGATACCTGTTAATGTGATTGTTTTGCTTGTGTTTTCGGTTGTCGAGTGGGTTGAATTGCATTTTATGAAAGATCTTCGGACGAATTCCTTGGATAACCGTTCCTTTGGAAGATTCTATACAGGCGTTTCTCTTCTTTTACTTTACATTCTACTGTGTTGCGGTGTGTTTCAATTCACCTGAATAGCGTCCGAAAGCGGCTCTGTTTGTGGCAGTTTGTGTGGTTGCTGTGGTGGCTCAGAATTTGATCCGTGTGCGTAGCCTTTCTGTAGACTTCCGTTCATTCGGCAACCTTGTGACGAGTACATTTAGACAACCAGCTTGTTGTTGTCTTCCTTTTCCATCGTGAACTTGATGTCATCGGAGACACTGTTTATCAATTGGATTGTTCGTTTTTGTTCTGTCTTCTTGATGATGACAAGGGTGTCGTCTACATAACGTATACAGAGCTTCGGGTTTATGTCCGGCAATGAACCCTAAGATTGGGGAACCCATTGATGCTCCTTTCAGTTGTCCGCAGTATTCACCGTTGGATTCGAGGCACGTGGTCAAACAGAGGTTGAGCAATTCACATGTCTTCCTTCCTTGGAGATCCACTAGGAGGTCCCTGACTGTCCAGTAGTTCAGCAACTGATATCTCCGCGGAGTGAAGGTCCACTGATGTGAACGGTGAGCTTATGCATTGCCGTTGGTGGGAGGTGTAGAAGGGTTGGACTTGTACTGACAGCTTGAAGAGCTTCAAAAGCTCCTGTCCTCAAAGCGGTGTCCGTAGATGGCGCACTCTCTACATTCCGATTTAATTCAGTGAATGACTAGTTGATGAGACGAACGCCGGAATATATATTATATATATTATATACATTCCAAGTTGTATTTGTGTTGATTGCAGTGTGACAGATAATGTCACTGCACTAACCTGCAATGCTTGGGTTGCTTTTGCTTATCTGAGACACCTATGATGTCAATGTAATATATCCGTGAATGTCAAGTAACGTGTGTATCAGGCTGTCGGGCTGTCTGTTGTGTGGCTCTGAGATTTTTCCCGTATGAGAAGCGCAACCAAGGCATTTAAAAGCGTTTAACAGCGGTTGTCTCCAAACAATTACTCGCGTTGGTCAGTGAGAACAAAACCGTATAGCGACGGTTACAAAGCGATTTTTCCTACTGATTGATTTTGCAAATACATGCTTTCATTACGCGCCGTAAACTTTATGGCATACTGCCACAGTATCTTGGCGGGCCTCTCCGAAATATTTTTGATACCTGTTAATGTGATTGTTTTGCTTGTGTTTTCGGTTGTCGAGTGGGTTGAATTGCATTTTATGAAAGATCTTCGGACGAATTCCTTGGATAACCGTTCCTTTGGAAGATTCTATACAGGCGTTTCTCTTCTTTTACTTTACATTCTACTGTGTTGCGGTGTGTTTCAATTCACCTGAATAGCGTCCGAAAGCGGCTCTGTTTGTGGCAGTTTGTGTGGTTGCTGTGGTGGCTCAGAATTTGATCCGTGTGCGTAGCCTTTCTGTAGACTTCCGTTCATTCGGCAACCTTGTGACGAGTACATTTAGACAACCAGCTTGTTGTTGTCTTCCTTTTCCATCGTGAACTTGATGTCATCGGAGACACTGTTTATCAATTGGATTGTTCGTTTTTGTTCTGTCTTCTTGATGATGACAAGGGTGTCGTCTACATAACGTATACAGAGCTTCGGGTTTATGTCCGGCAATGAACCCTAAGATTGGGGAACCCATTGATGCTCCTTTCAGTTGTCCGCAGTATTCACCGTTGGATTCGAGGCACGTGGTCAAACAGAGGTTGAGCAATTCACATGTCTTCCTTCCTTGGAGATCCACTAGGAGGTCCCTGACTGTCCAGTAGTTCAGCAACTGATATCTCCGCGGAGTGAAGGTCCACTGATGTGAACGGTGAGCTTATGCATTGCCGTTGGTGGGAGGTGTAGAAGGGTTGGACTTGTACTGACAGCTTGAAGAGCTTCAAAAGCTCCTGTCCTCAAAGCGGTGTCCGTAGATGGCGCACTCTCTACATTCCGATTTAATTCAGTGAATGACTAGTTGATGAGACGAACGCCGGAATATATATTATATATATTATATACATTCCAAGTTGTATTTGTGTTGATTGCAGTGTGACAGATAATGTCACTGCACTAACCTGCAATGCTTGGGTTGCTTTTGCTTATCTGAGACACCTATGATGTCAATGACGAACGCCATATATTATATATATTATATACATTCCAAGTTGTATTTGTGTTGATTGCAGTGTGACAGATAATGTCACTGCACTAACCTAACCTGCTTGGGTTGCTTTTGCTTATCTGAGACACCTATGATGTCAATGTAATATATCCGTGAATGTCAAGTAACGTGTGTATCAGGCTGTCGGGCTGTCTGTTGTGTGGCTCTGAGATTTTTCCCGTATGAGAAGCGCAACCAAGGCATTTAAAAGCGTTTAACAGCGGTTGTCTCCAAACAATTACTCGCGTTGGTCAGTGAGAACAAAACCGTATAGCGACGGTTACAAAGCGATTTTTCCTACTGATTGATTTTGCAAATACATGCTTTCATTACGCGCCGTCGTTGGCCATTAGACCGGACCATTGGGCTTCAAACTCAGCGTTCCGCATAGTCACAGGCCTAATAATTACGATAAGTAGCCAAGGAGAGCGATATCGCCTACCTGGAAGCACCGCAAACAAGAGATTCAGCTGTGTTCCAGGTGAGTGTCCTCCAAAATTGAGAAAGTTTGCAGATGAGTGTATTTCTCTGATATCGACTACAGTTGGGAGTATGACGGGGCGTCGATGACCGTTAGATAAGGATATCATGTATAGTTGGGCCTGATTTTTGTCGGCCACGCATTATAATAGCCCGGTGTATAACCTAAGCAGCAAAACTAAGGTGCAACTGGTGCGGTTACGAGTATGACAGATGAGATTGGATTAAGTTACTGGTTACTCAACGCCGCACGTAAATACGGACCTAGTATGTACAATAAGAAGCCAAACAAGGCCAAATCGAGTACAGCAATGAGTAGGACAAGTCGTCGGATTAGGCTCACACGTACCGTCCAATCATT